CGAAAAGGAGGGATCCCGTTGTAGGAAAGGGCTTGTGTGTGCTTGATACTGCGAAAGTCCAGGGAATGCAAGCTCCATCGATTTTCACCGGGATTGCTCTCGTTTTTTTTTCCCCCCATCCCTTCTCAACCTTCCTCCACCCTCCACTTCCAACCCTCACTCCACTCCCCCCCCCAAGTCTCCCTCTCTTTTACTCGAATATTATTTTACGCGTCGCGATACAAACAATTTCATTTTATTCCAAACACTTTGTTCTTTTGCTATTATTTTTATTTCAAAAGTAATTATACGAATACTGTGACACATATTTTAACTATTATTATTATTATTATTATTATTATTAATAATTGGCATTAGGAATTCCCTCAATTAACCAAATCCCGCCAGTGATCCCATCCCTGAGCTTGAACCCCGTCCATTCGCGGTCTTCGTAGCCCATTATCTTTAAGATCCCGAAATAATATTGTCCTCCCATTAACATCTCGGTCTACCCCCTGTGGTATTTTCCCGTTCGATATACCGATCAGTATTTTATACACCCTTCGATCCACCCCCATGCGCACCACGTGACACCTGCCCATCTTAATCGGCATGATTTTACGACGTTAATGAAGTCCGGTTTTGTACAGTCGGTGTACTTCCAGGTTATGGGGTTTTCTCATTCGTCCGTTTCCTCATCGTATTTTACACCGAACATTTAACGAAACAACTTGATTTTCGAAAAGCCTCAATTTCTTTTGGGCCTGTAACGTAAGTGTACCACGTTTGGTTATCATAAAGGACTACCAGTAGGATGATTGTCCTGTATATCCTGATTTTGAAGTGCCCAGACAGTAGAGTAATTTATTGACGAAATAAAAGGATGCAATGGGCACACTTACATAGTTGCATTTCTGTACATCATCATCGTCCATCTTTGTCATAACTGTGTTAGGTAGATAAGGTCGTATAGGGTGAATAATAAGGTAGTTACGCATCTGAGTCCGGTGGTATTCGAGTAGTATGTTCGGTATTATTAATAACTCTGACTGACCCCATTTTAACTATAAGGGTTTATCTTCTTTACTCATATAAGCAATGGGTGATTATTCGTTGGACCCTTCAATTCCTACAACTACATTCAGATTTTTGCCCCTGCCCTTTCTTCTTATTCTTCCTACCTCTTCGATACTTTTTTTTTGTTCTTTTTTTTTTTTCTATGGAAATATATCTTCTACCTTGTTGGATAACTCACCCTCTTTCCCTTCTCTCTTGTTTGAGGAGCATAACAAAAATTAACTACCCCTAATACCTAACACATCGATCGTTGTATACTATTATTATTATTATTATACACGTTGTCAGGGTAGTAAAATTAATATTCGTCGAAGAAGAAGGGTCGTGTTACCCAAATGTTAATGTACCCTTAAATAATTCTGTCCATAATTAATTCTGTAAACTTTTGTTCCTTCTTTTTTCTTTTTTTTTTCTTCTTCTTCTGGATTATATTTACGACAAGGGTGATATATTATGTTTTATGTTTAGAGATTATTGATGGTAAAAAAAAAAAAAGAAAAAAAAAAAAAATTATTCTTCGTTTATTTATATCGTAAAAATAATAAAAAAATAATCGGTTATTTTTTTAAACAAAGATTTGAATAATAATTGAAAATTATCAAATTGTTATGTTGAAATTTACGATTTTATGATTGTGGAAAATTTTGGGGCAAATTTAAGATTACATTTTTTAAATATTTTTATAATCATTAAATTATATTATATAGTATTTATTATTTATTAAAAAAATTAATATATATATATATAATTAATATAAATATTATTTACATTATATAATATATTTATTATACAATAATATTTCGCTTTTTCGCTTGTACTGCAAGTTACAAATCACCCTGTATATAAAATATATGTAATAATAAAAATATTAAAAAAATAAAAATATAATTAATATTTTGTTGTACGAATTCTTTTATTATTTTTTTTTTTTCATACAACCCCTCAGTCGTTCGCAACCACCGTACGCGTCATTCTCTAGTGTTCCCATAGCAGCATTGACCGCTTCTATTTATATAACACTCATTTTACCCTACGTATCCCCATCTACCACCCACCTAGTCATCGAATTCTCTCTCTTCCTTTCTCTCTCTCTCTCTCTACATTTTCTTTTTGAATATAAAAAAAAAAAAAGAAAAAAAAACAGAGAGAAAGAGAAATGGAGGAAGACAACATATTAAAACAATCTTGTTATTTTTCCACTTTAGATTTTCTTCGAATAAAAAGAGACACGTGAAAAATAAAAAAAAAAAATAATAAAAACATAACGAGAAGGAATGTAAGTACATTACCTAATATACCTAACATATATATATATATATACATAAATAAAATATACATATATACATACAAAGGAGTATGAATTGATGATACCGGATGAACGAGCATGATGATCACGTTTCACACGTGTACATTGCACGAGTTTATGTTTATATATATATATATATATGTACGACGTTTATCTTGTTTATAAATGCGTTCAACACAACTATAATAATAAATAAAGAAACCCTTTGCTTATTCTCCCATTCCCCAATGTTTTTGATAAACTTGATCGAACAGTTCAAACGTTATTTACTTTCCCTCTCACCCTACCTTACCCCTTTCATGCCATACTCCTATCATACTCTAAATCGTTCAGTTATTTCTAATCGCGAACTAATCATTCGTGATTTTCCTCCACAAGACGATTTGATCACAAGTATTCAATTTATCTATTGTTTATCTCGAATCAGATAATATTTTTTTTCCTTATATATACATGCATGTATGGATGTGTGTGTGTGCGTATAATCAAATTTTATTTGTACAATATTATAGGAATATTGTATACGATTTAATTAATTAAATATCAAATAAAATATAATAAATATAAAATGAAACTATACTGAATTATGAAAAAGAAAATCTACAAAATGAAATTACCAAATAATAATATAAATAATATAAAATTTATCAATTATAAAAAATAAAAATTAAAATATAAAAAACATAAATTTAAACTATTATCATTTTTAAGGAATAAAAAGTACAAAATATACTATTAAACGAATATAAATAATAATAAAAAAAATATACAAAAAAAAAATATTAAACATTAAAAGTAATAATATATATAAAATCATTTTAGATAATCTTTATAATACAAAAATATAGTGAATAAAAACTATATACAGAATGATATGTAACTAGTGTTAAAAACAATAAAAAAAACCTCACTACTTTTCAGAAAAAAACATCATTACTTTTCAGAAAAGTTGTTTGTGAAATTCATTGCATTAAGAGTAGAAACAGAGGGATGTTGATGTGGGGTAGAAAGGGATAAAGGGGTAGAATAAAGGAAAGGGAAAAAGGCAACGTTGATCGAAAAACCGATCGTTAAATTCGACGATGAACGAAATTAAATCTACGAGTTTTCTCTAGTTAGTAAACATATAATGCTTTGATTGGTGGATGATTTTTGCTGGTGGTGTTTGTGGCTGTAGTGATGGTGGATTGTGGTGGTAAATCGCGCTAAAATCGTTTTAACCTGCCTCGAGAGTCGCGTTTAATAATAAATCGTCTTTGGTCTCGGGTTAACTTCGATTTTCATTCCTTTTCTAAACCCTCCCACACTCCTTCAACCCCCTTTTCACCCCTTCCTGTCCGATTTCGATTCCTATTCTATTCCATTCTATTCTTTCTCGTTCTTTCTCATGAACAGTTTAAAAAAAAAAAAAAAAAAAGAACTAATAAGCGTCGATTCGTATCAGTTTAGTTCGTCGCGACGATAAAGGAAATATATAATAATAATAATAATAATAATATTAAATAAATATAAAAGAATAATATGAAATAGAAAAAAAAAATAAAAAGAAATAAAAATAATATGGATATAAAAAATAATAAAATAAAATAAAATAGAAACAATGTATTCACCCCTCTTCCTTTTTGTCGTTGACACAGACGAGAATCACATTTTTCTAGATTATTTTTTTGGAAATTATAGACCAAAAGAAAAAAAAAATAGAATACATAAATAAAAAAAAATCCCATAGTTCGAGATGATATTGGTGTAAAAATTGTGACTATTTTTAATAGTTTAAAATAAGTTATCTCTTTCTTCTTGTTGATTTTTTTTTTTTTACTATTTTAGAGATTCTATTTTCTTTTCTTTCTTTCTTGCTCTCTTTCTTTTTTTTTTATTTCCATTCACATTAAAAATAATCGAAAAAGAGAAAAGAATAATCTCAAATAATCTAAAAAATGTAAGGAAAAGGAAAAAAGAATAAATAAATAAATAAACGTTTGATAAAAAAAAAATGTTTACGTCGACTAATTGACGTTATCAATCGATTTTTTTTCTTTTTTTGTTTTCTCTTTTTCTTTCTCTTTAATTTTCGTCATTTAGAATACGATAATCTGAGAGAAAAAAAAAAATAAAAAATAAAAAAAAAAGGTAAAGGTAAATAAAACTTTTCGTTCGGGTTTTATTTGATCACATAGCATTGCTACAGAAGATAAATTGCTAAAGGTTGCTGTAACAGTCAAGAATAATAATGTCCGATGTCATTTCTCTAATGACAAATGTTTATTTCGCAGTTTAGAAACCTCGAGAATATTTTCTACTAGTATATTAATATTACTTAATATACAAATTATTATTTATTCCTATATATATATAATAAAAATTATAAATAAAATACTGAAGGTAATTTGACAAAGAGAATTGAATTAAAAGATGTGTACAGAGTACCTTTAAATATTCGACCACCTATTTAAAATTCAAATTATTTATAAAAAAAAAAAGAATATATATATATATAAAAAGAATATATAACAATATTTAAAATCCTATTTATTATCCTATTATCTATCAATTTTATTATATTTATTATCCTATTTATCTATCAATTTATCTATCGTATTTGAAAATATTCCTACGAGTTTTTTTTTTTTTTTTTAAACATAACTTACATCACATAGACAATAGGTATTCAATTATAAGTTTTAATATGTAATTAATAAAATACATTGTATATATAAGAAAAAAAACAAAAAAATTCCAAAAAGGAAGACTATGAATTCGCGTATTATCATAATATAATCGTTGAGCAAGAATAATAATCAAAAGAAAAATAAAAGTTAAGAATATAAAATATACTTTAGCAACTTAGCAATGATTCGTATCAGCAGGAAACGTGTCCGGCGTCGTCTAATATATCCTTAACCCCCGTCGTCTCATAGATTTTCATAATCCAACCGTGTAAAGAGAAAGAAAAAGATGAACAACATGATCATATATATATATATATATGTTCATATTAAGTTAGAAAGAAAGAGAAAGAAAGAGGATTGATAGAACAAGCAAGCAAGCAAGCAAGCAAGCAAATGCAGAAAACGTCGAGCAGCAATGATACACGCATACTTTTAAATACACACACACACATATCATACACATACAGACACATGCATAATGCCAAGCATAACCAAGTGGTTTATTTATAACGTCGCGGAAATACACTCGGTGCCTTTATTGTAAAACGTTGTGTAACGGGCTCGTTGTGTAACATAATCAATGATACTCTCCATCCTGAAACGTCTCTTCTACTACTACAAACTAACTTATTAGGTGTGTACGTGTATATATTATACCTATGTAACGTATTAATTCATGTAAGTATTATATATATATATATATATGTATATAGTACCGATAGTGAAGATTTCTTTTAAATCTTATAAAAATAATAATAATAAAAAAAATAAAAGCAGAAATAAATAAATAAATAAAAATATAAAAAATAATATCGAATTAATTATAATCGATTAAATATTAATAATAAATTATATTAATTTATTATATTTTGTTATATTTTGTATATTATTTATATTATTAAAAAAAAAAAAAATTTAATTATAATTTTATTTATAATCAACAAATGATACATTCGATTATTCAAGTTTTTATTCGAGATACGAAAATGTTTTAATATAAATTTAATATGTCTTAAATTATAATAAGAAAAATAATATCGAAATGCGTCGATTGTTTTGCTAAATCGATTTTTATTTCGACGAAAAATAAAAACCAAGAACAAAGAAGAATCAAAAGAAAAAAAATATGGCGAGCTTCTTAAGAAAAAGTTACGTCAATTTAAATAAAATTGTCGATAAAATAAAGCGTTGTCGTATTAGTAAAAATGTTGTATCACGTTCAATACTAACTCGTGTTAATCGTGAAAATATTAAAAAGAGAATGATAGTTCGTATCTCTATGGGTGTCCTAGCAGGTGCAGCTACCACCTGTGGATCCGTTTTGTATTTCCTCGACAGTTCGGTCAAGGCCGATCTCACGCGAGCAATGCCACCGAGTTATCCCTGGAAGTTAGACGGATTTTTCAAATCTTTGGATCATGCTGCAGTACGAAGAGGTTGGCAAGTTTATAAAACGATCTGTGGTACTTGTCATAGTTTAGAATTCGTCAGATTTAATGATTTGGTCAATGTGTCTCATACGAAGGAAGAAGTTGCTGCTATTGCTAAGGATTATGAGGTTTTTTCTTATTATTTCCTAATTTGTTATCTTATCTTTTTATTAAATAACTTATTTTTTTGGTATCGTACAAGATCGAAGATGGACCAGACGAAGAAGGAAATTATTACAAAAGACCATGTAAATTATCAGATCGTATACCACCACCATTTCCAAACGAGGAAGCAGCAAGATTTGCAAATAATGGATCATATCCACCTGATTTAACTTACATCATATGTGCTAAAAAATATGGACGAAATTATATATTTTCATTGCTCACTGGTTTCATGGATCCACCTGCAGGTGTTATTCTATCGGATAATCAACAATTCAATCCTTATTTTCCCGGATCAGCTATTTCTATGACACAGGTATGAATACGGGGAATGAGGGGGGGAATGGGGAAAGGTTTACGATCGATTGAAAAGAAAAACTTTTTCTTATAACAGTTACTTCAAGACGGCGTAGTAGATTATGATGACGGTACACCAGCTACCAAAGCGCAAATGTCAAAGGACGTTGTGGAATTTCTTTCCTGGACGTGTTCGCAAGAACACGACGCGAGAAAATTGATGACTATTAAAGCCATTGGTATTAGTATCATTTTTATGATTGCAGTATTGCATATGAAAAAAAGTATATGGACTACAGTAATGAATGAACGAATTTTTAATATGTATAAAGATAAATGTGAATAGATAAAAAAAAAAAAAAAAAACCGACAAACCTTTAGATTTTTTTCTTCTACTTTGTCTTTTTTTCATTTAGTTAGATGAAACATTTCGTACGTTAGTATATATATAGGGGGAGTTCACGTAAGGCCGAATATTCATATATCTCCAAAAAAAAATTAATGTGAACGATTCAAAAACAAGTGAAAGGGGTGCGGGGGGATATAGTGGTACAGGATATACGATCTAGTTTATCAGTGAAGCTTAAGACAATATCAGAAACGGTCGATTTCTATTTTCAGCAGGAAAACAATGCATCGCGTAAGATTCATGTAAGTGTTACTGCTACATTTCTGTGTTTAAGTCGTTGTATATGAATTTTGTTATTGATTTTCAAAACGGATTAGATATAGATCACGTAATGTTGCTATTATCTTGTCCCCTAGTATCGGACAAAAATAGTCCCTTAACGCTGGACAGTGAAAACTACTATTAAAAATAGCAGAATAAAAGTACAAGCAACAAATCAAAAACGTGAAGGCCCAAAGGAAGAAATGAAGTAAAGGGGGAAACAAGACAAAGGAGTAAAAGCTAAGGGAAAAAGTGGAGATAGAGGATAAGAAAAAAACCAGCCATTGACTGAGATATCTGAAATTGAAAGAAGTACTTGGGTAGTGTGCTTAACAAACTACGACGAAGACTGGATACAGTGCTTCAGCTGCCATGGATGGGCTCATGAAGCATGTGCAGACATTCTTGAATGTTCAGACGTCTACATATGTGATCGATGTTGGATGATTGCAAAATTTCCAGTGCTAGTTGTTCGAAGTTAAATCTGTCCGATACTAGGTGACACTTTCAACGATTGTGATATTTTTACAGCAAAGTTTTATTCTTATTTTTCAATATGTTTATACAGAAGTTGTATTTTTGTTAATTTATATTGAATCTATAGTATGTTGACTTTACTAATTATTAAATAAAGTTACATTTTTCAAGATAGTTTTTATTTTATTTCAGAAAAACGTATGTTAAGTGTCTATTAATTATAAGTAATATCTAACAAACTGTACAATGTATTCATATGTAATTATCATATTATCTTATATCGAATAAAAATTAATAAGACATAGTTTCAAGGAAAAAAAAAAAAAGGAAAAAAAATAATAAATATCTCGTTTGACGTATCCCCTTGACGTTTTCTCATTGATTTTTTTATTTTTTATTATTATAAGCATAAATTATTCGTATCTAAAGAGAGAAAGAGATAAACTAATACACCTAGCGTTCCTTTTCTTTCGTTTAATCGTTTAATCACATTCAAGTAGAGAAGGTTCTTATCGAACGTATTATCTTCTTCTATTAAGTGTCGACCCTCTTCTTCTTCTTCTTCGTCTTCTTTTTCTTTTTCTTAAACGTATCGTCCCCCTGTTGACACGACGCGTTTAGTTTAAAAACATATCACGCAAATAAGTAACATGTTTTCAAACTGAATTCTTACGACAATTTTCAAATTATTTTTTTCTTCTTGTTTTGCAACACACGTTAAAAAAAAAAATAAAAAATAAAAAAACCATTTCGTTCGAGAGGATGTAAAAACGTGAACAAGTAAAAATATAAATTAAATCAATTTTATTTTATTTCACTTATAATTTTCTATTTTATTTTATTTGTATTTTTATTTTCATGCGTTCTTCTTTCCTGGAACAATTTTTGTTCTCGTTTCTAACTTTGATCTATCCATTTATCAATTCCTCCCTCTTTACCCCTAACCCGTTACCCCTTTCATCACCCTCTCTCTCTCTCTCTCTCTCTCTTTCTCTCTGTGTGTGTCTTTTTCTTTCTGTTAGAAATCTAAACGGCGCGTAGTCGATAATCGTTTCGCAATGCGGCCTTGACGTTGCCGAGTATACTCGTCGATCGGACTTGGTTAAATATAGAAAGCTCGAGTATAGTAGGCAACAAACATTAACGACGTTTCTTACGAGTCGTTAACTCTGCAGCTACGATCGGATGCTTCGTGGTGAAATTCTATTTTGGTAGAGTCTCCCTATATATCTTTTCCTTTCTCTTCTCTCTCTCTCTCTCTCTCTCTCTCTCTCTTTCTCATTCTCATTCTCTTTCTTTTAAAAGAACCACCCACGTGTAACACGTCATTTTTCCGTCACATTCCACCTTAATGCCAAGTTTAGTATATGTCAAATTCTATCGATAATTATTAAGAACCCAACCCCTTAACTAACCCCTTCCCTCACCTCCCACAACCTAGAATTAATTTTAGAACTTTGGCAGATTGTCGATTTCGTTTTAGCAACAAGTGTGGTGGTGATCACATTAAAGAGAATGAGATAGATAGATAAATAGATATTGTATGGATGTATGTGAATGTTGGTGTGTTGCTAAGTGTTAAAGTTTTAGGTGTCAATATAAGTGTGTGATTGTGTGTACGCGTGTCTGTTGCTAAGTGTTCAAGTTTGAAGTGTAAATGTAAGTATGTGAATGTGTCAGAACACGTGTGTGTCTGTTGTTAAGAGTTTGAAATATAAATGTAAGTGTAAATGTAAGTGTGTAATTGTGTGTGTGTGTGTGTGTGTGTAAGGGTAAATCGAAAATATACGTAACGATGAATGAAACTCCTGACTGACGTCGTACCTATCTGGCTCGCCAAAACGACACCAAACACAACAACACGCGAACGAATAAAACGTCGTTGAAAACGTCAACGTACTACTTGCTGCTGTTGCTTCGTCAAACACGTTGGTGCTGTGCTGGACTGACTAACTGACTAACTGACTAACTGACTGACTGACTGAAAGATCCGATGCTAAAGAAATTACAACTATGTTTATCAACTGCACCAATTACAATGTTGAAAATGATGATGATAATAATGATGAACATGAACATAATAATGTTTAACTTTATAATAGAAAAAAAAAAAAAATCAAAAGAGAATATATTAAGTTGGTAATTAAGTTTTTATCTTTTCATAAAGACTTTACTTTTTTTAATATAGAATAATTACTACGTTAATAAATATAATTTATTATTTTACTTTTTTTATACATAATATTATATTATTTTATATTTATATATTAATATAAATTATATAACATATTAATTAATTATTAAATATATTAAATTATTTTAAATATTAATTAATTATTTATTATTTTAAATTATTTTAATGATAGATTAGTTCAAACCAACAAAAAAAAAAAAAACTAAAACATAGAATATTCTTTTGAATGATTTAAAATAATTAATTACATGATGAAATGTTTAAATTTAAGGAAAAGGAAACCAACGAGAACTTAGTTGCCAATTTAATGGTTATTCATTGAATAATACTACAAATAGAAAGACCAAGATAAAAAGAGAGAGATAGAGAGAGATAGAGAGAGAGAGAGTATTCGTGTCCAATAAATAGGATGAGTTTGTTGAATGAATTTCGGATTTTGCTTATTGACGTCATCAAATGGTTTCTCCTCTTCCTCCTACACCTCCTCCTCCTCCTCCTCATCCCCTTTACCCCCCAGATCGTTATCTAACTAAAACGCTTGTTTTTTCAATAACACGAAGAAGGAGAGAAATAAGAGAAGAATAAGATGAAGAAGAAGACGAGAAGGAAGAGAAAGGGTGAGACAGGGTGGATAGGTAAGGGGATGGAACGGAAAGGGGACAAGGAGGAGGAAAGGGGGGGGAGGAGGAGGAAGTTTAGACCGCGACCGACACACCGTTGCCAGACGCATCCGCATCCGAAAGGTTACGTCCGAATCTCGAAATAGAGGAATCCTCGGCAAAAATAGTTTCTCCCTTTTCCCTCCTACCACCCCCTCACCTTACCCCCCCTGTACCCATAGTTTTCGATATATCGTCATCGCGAAATAGACCTCGAGCCGGGACCGGAAGACCAATGTGATGAAAACAACTAAAACTATCACATCTTTCCTATGTATGTATATATCTATGTATGTATGTATGTATATATATATATATATAGAAATGTACACGTGTATGATGTGATATGATTAAGTATAGAAAAAAGATGATGACACTGATAGAATAAGTTTTGCTAATAGTTTGGTAAAGGAATGTTTGGAATGTACGGAATTGTATGACGTTAATGTTTTAATTTGAGATGTTTTTTTTTTTTTTAATGTCTGTTTAGAAATAGAGAAAATAGAAATGAAACGAAACTAAACGAAATTTGAAAATACTTGGGTTATTTTATAAGAATACATTTTGGCGCATTTTGACAGAGAATTCCGCCGACTTTCCAGATGCGGAGGTGTCGGAACGATAAATAAACGAATTTTCTGTTCATAGAAGAAGAAGAAGAAGAAGAAGAAGAAGAAGAAGAAGAAGAAGAAGAAGAAGAAGAAGAGGAAGAAGATGAAGAAACGTAAGGGGGGTGGGGGAGAGGTGAAGTTTTTGCATTTCCCAAATATTCCTGGCACATACTCGGTATGCAATAGTCTCGTTTATTTGGCGCGAATCTCATAAACGATTTACCTAACATTACGAACGGTTAAAACGTTCATTTATCTATCTTTTATTTCTATTTATCTATTTCAATCTTTCAACCTTCCCTCTCACCCTCTCATAACGATCTTTTTTTATCTGAGGAAAGGGGAATAGGAGATTTCATTGAAAGTCAAGAGATTTATTAATAAACTACCAATCAACACCATTGATTTTAAACCAACGACAAAACGTAGGAATTAAAGAAATTAATTAACAATAAATATATGTATATATATATATAATTGAAAATTATAGACCAACGATATAAAGGTAGTAAAAAGAATTAATTAAAAAGAAGAAAAACGAGAATTTTGTTTTATAATAATGATAATAAGAAAAAAAAAAAAGAAATACAAACAAAACTTATGATTCTTGACTTGTTACACGTGACAATCTTTTTTTTCCTTTCCTTTTCCTTTTTTTTTCTAAACTAAAGTAAAAAGAAGGATCAAGAAGAAGTCGTGCGTTTCTTCTAAAGGCAATAAGATAAAATCGTTTCAATTTCAAGTTTGCTAGTTAATTAACGTCATTCCTAAGAAGTAAACAGACAAAGAGAGATAATAAAATGACGTTATCGATCCTGTTAGCATTCACGTATTATTTTTTTTTTTATTTTCTTTTTCCAATAAACTTAAACGTCGAAATTTAAAGGCCAAGATAAAATATAAACGTATATATGCATAATGAATCTACAAGATATTTCGGTATCTTTACCTTTTCAGCTAAAATCGTTGATAGATGTAAAAAGGACGGCTTCAACGATGACGACGAAGACAATGATGATAATGATCCTTTCCCTTTTATCATCGATTCTCACTGCATTCAAAACAAATCTTTTATAAGTCTGTGTAAATATTCAATGTAATATTTATTATGGTATTTATTCCTATTTTGATTAATTTTTAGTGAAAAAATATGTGTGTGCCTTCAGAAATGCCATTAAACAAACATATATTAAAAATGAAACAATTTCAGGAGCTGAAGTAGAAAAAATTTTCAAAGGTTTGTTGTTAAATCCAACGATGGTCACCTGAAACAAAAAGAAAACTATATTAATTATAGAATCAAGTGAGATACAATAGCCTGACATATGAATCGTCCAGATGCATTTTTCAAATTGAATGCTCTATTTATTTTTATCAAATCTCTACTTGAAGTTAAAATAAAATTGAATTTAAACGCGTGATTTTACATTTACAAAAAATAAAAAAAATAAAAAAGTAAAAGTAGAAATATTAAGTTACTAGAGAAAATAATATCTATTAATTATTATAAGTAATACTTTAAAATTGCATTATATAGAAAAGGAAAAATTACAAATTTAATAAAATACGATCAAAGTGAAAAATCTTAA